TATGTGTGTGTGTGTGTGTGTGTCTGTGTGTACTCATTTTTCTCTGTGTGTCTGTCTGTACATATACATGCATGTGTGTGCATCTGTGTCTGTGTGTCTGTCTGTCTGTGTGTGTGTATCTGTCTGTATCTGTGAATGAGTCTGTCTCTGTCTGTGCTTGTGCTTGTGCTTGTGCGTGTGCGCGCGCGCGTGCGTGTGTGTGTGTGTGCGCGCGCGTGTTCTGCTGTCTCTATGTCCAAACAGCAGTGTGTCGGTCATTGGTTTGTGTCTGTTCCTCTAGTGGTCACGGCTCGCTGCCCCGGGACACTGAGTGACAGCGAGTGGGTGCAGGAACGTGTGTGTGTGTGTGTGTGTGTATCTTCACAGTCTCACACTCATTTTTTATACAAAGGCGATTTTGACTTGCATGAGTGTGTGTGTGTGTGTGTGTGTGTGTGTGTGTGTGTGTGTGTGTGTGTGTGTGTGTGTGTGTGTGTGTGCGCGCGTGCGGGGGGTTGTGAAGGCAGAGGCGTGTCTTAGGATTAGACTTTAGGAAGACACTGAGGAGAGTGGAGTTGCAGTGCGCCTGAGGGAGATAAACTGCGTGCGAGTGTGTGTGTGTGTGTGTGTGTGTGTCTGGCGTCCCGCTCAGGCCGATGGCTGCCACTCGTCCTGCGTTTGTGAGTGTATTTTCTTTACTGCTGTCAGCTGCTCTACTCTGCTTTGTGTGTGTGTGTGTGTGTGTGTGTGTGTGTGTGTGTGTGTGTGTGTGTGTGTGTGTGTGTGTGTGTGTGTGTGTGTGTGTGTGTGTGTGTGTGTGTGTGTGTGTGTGTGTGTGTGTGTGTAATGGAACTCATCTTCAGAGTCTGCTGGGTGATGTTTGCTCTGTAACGCAGGTTTCAGCTGTATTGTGTCAGCTCCTCATTTACATTTCTCTCTGAAAGTAATTTATGATTAAAATGAGAGAGGTTTTGCATGCTGTTTTCATTTGAAACGCTGTCTTTATTGATTTTAGGTTATGTTAACATGTAAAACTGCATCATTTAATGATTGCAAACACATAGATGATGCTGGACCGGTTCAGATGCAGGCGTTACACTGTTTATTGATCAGCTCAGTCACGTCTCATCACAGTTTTAGTCGCTGCTAATAGAAAACAAAAGAGTGGAGCACTTTAGTTTAGGTCACACTTTACAGCATTAAAACCCTTGACTAACTCTACTAGCTCAATAAACTACTCAATATCTGTTTAGCAGTGGGTAAGGCAGTCGTGGGGTTGAAGTTTTTGGATGAGGGATGCAGAATAAGATCTGACTGTTTGTCTACTAATGAACTGTTCAGATCTTGATAATAGGCAGGGTATAAGATACAGCATGCCTGGTGACCTAAAGTGAAGCGTTACCAATGAAATGTGCATGCAAATGTATTATCCCCCCTCCCTGTTAAATTTGGTCTTACCCTTGTCCTGAAACTCCCCCCCCTCTCCTGCTTTCACTGCTCATTCTGACAGAGGGAGCGATTCGCTTGTGAATGAATCTCCATTATGAACGACTCGTTCACTGAGCAGACAGTAACGCAGGTGTCTGGCAGCGCAGCGTCCTGTTGTCATATACATATCTAGTGTATATATCTATGGTCTGCAGGCGCCCCCTGCTGGAGGACAGTGGTTATGTCCAGTAAATGAATAAAGCTGGAGTGCAGGTGCAGGTGTGTGTGTTCTGTTGCATCATTTCACACACACAGATTCTTCTCTCATCATCATCGAGTTATTCGTTTTGTTTTAAGGTTTAGTGTACACAATTCAGAATTTTAGTTTTATTTCATTTTCACACGCTGAGTGTGTTGAGTTGTGGGTTCCTCCGCTCCGTGTTGTGTAAGTGTTCTGTACGTGTTAGCGGTGGAAACCTCTAGAGGCCATGAGCTCTTCAAATGTGTGGAAAGAGTCGTAATAAAGCATCATTAAAGCTCCTGTCAAGCGCTCTGAAATGTGCATTATTATTGGATGTTTTGAGAAGAAAGGGGGCGGGACGTATCATAGCTCCTCCCCTTTAAAATCAGCCAATAGCGTGTTGTTTCTCTTACAGATCTGCCAGTGAAAATGATTGAGCTCAAGTGCATCAATTATTCAGCCAATGAGAAAAGTGGGCGGGGCATGGGCGGGGCATGTCAGACACTAGAGAGCATCTGATTGGTCAGAAGATTTGTTGAGTAACTGAAGTATGAGGAGACGTGAATAAAGCTGTTGATCTATTTAAGAGGTGATGAGCTGCACCCTCTGTGTGTTCATATCTCCTCAACATGAGTCTAGCCATGAATTTACAGACAATAATACTGACACCTACAACCTTTACCAGTCA